ACTAATGCATCTGCAGTTAAATTCATAAATTAAAATTTATATCTTTTTGACTTTCATTCCATACATTATTATCTTTTCTTATAATTAGACTTGTAATATCAAGACGTGATATTAGGACGATATCAGGATGATAGAAGACGAAAATATCTAGAGTATATATAGAATATGATATATGTATAACATCACTATAATAATTTTGTATTATTATCATGGTATAACGGAAACTAATTACGTATAATTACATTAAGTATATAAATATAAATATATTTCCAAAGTGTATTGTTATGAAATTTGTTTTGTTATACTAATCAATAATATATTATACTAACCGTCATATGAATTGAACCCAAAGCACTTAATTTTGTTTGAAATTGTTCTGACACGAATAAATGACAATAATTATTAACAAAATAATACTAAAAATGAAATTAAGAATGAACGATATTAAAACAAATAATATTCAGAATAATATCAAAAATGTAGGAGTGTAATATACAATTTGATTGATTATTCCACTTATTATTCGATTTATTATTCAAATTAATTGGACTTTAAAGTAATTGTACTTTATTCTAACTTTACTGTAAAATAATTATTTTTTAATTCGATTTAAATAACAATTAGTTAAAATACTGGTTTAATAATAGTATTAAAATAAATAATAATGAGAATAATATTAAAAATGAAAAAATATAATATACAATGTTGTCATTTGAAACAATTGGACTTTTAAATAATTGTATTGTATTTTGATACAAATGAAAATCATACTATACCAGGTAAAATAACTATAGCATTAATAACCATTTAAAAAATTTTTTTTAAAATAGTAGTAACAAGTATTATATATATACTATACTACAATAAGAATAGTAATAAATGGATATTGTAATAATAAGATAAGTAACAGTAGCTGTTAAAGGAACAGGAATATTGACAATAAGAATTCGAACGCGCGAACTTCGAATCGTATAATTCATGCACTATACTTCACGCTCTACCAAGTTGAAATGTGATATCACATTTCACAGTTCATTATCAGGTAATCAGATAATCGATTTCTTCAAACCGTCATAAGGCATTTGTAACTAACGTATCTTAATGTTTCAATCTAAATATTTTTGTACTTCATTAATTAAAAAATTTTAATTCAAATTGACGTTGAATTTATTAAGAACTTTCTTTCACTAATCTGTTACAGTTTTAGAAAAAAGAAAAAACTTTATTTTAAATATCAAGCTTATATAAATCATGTATAAATTATATATAAATAAAGTATATTATCAGAAATATTTTATTAATTTTTTTACTGTCATATATTACACTTACTATTATAAAATAAAAGAAAATTAAATTATGATATGCAAACTTGAATTATACCAAATTGCATATGTATAAAAATATAAAAGACTTTGAATTCCTTTTTATTTGACAATATTTACTACCTTGAATATTTATATTGAGTTGTGTTCTATTAATATTTACATATATAAGTTCAACTACATAATTAGAGTAGACTATATATCGAGTTTCGAGATACAAAAAGATGTGCAAAAGAAAATGTTGAATTCTGTGCCCTTTCTTACAACTTTACTTAGAAAACCATTTTCCCTTTCTTTCTAATCTTTCCCTTATGCAAATCAATTCTATGTATAAGACGTAATACAAAATATTTTAAAAAATTCATACTTAGAAAATTTTTCAAAATCTTAATATCATATGTTGATCATGCTTTATAACATATTACCGACATTAGTATTACTGGACGTGCACTGCGAGGTCAGACTTTGTATATCATGGTGGTTCTAAAAAGAACCGATCGTACATGTGTGAACGCGTGCATGTGTACCATAGCTATGATAAGGACCTTATGCCAATAAATGTTCGAATTCTCGGCCATTGACTTCGATGCAGAGATTTATTCGCTTTCGAATAGACTCTTTTACCTTTCCAATCTTGCTACCGATGTTTCATGATATGCTTCGACAATTTTATGTTTTATACCTTTATGTCGTTGGTTCAACGTGGAAGACTTTATTTTTTAAACTCTCGAAAAGACTTTATTTCCTAACCCCCTACGTAAAAATATCTAGAGACATTGGTCTGGTGAACGAGATGAAAAATCTACTAAAAGTGCGCCCTCACTAGGCGAATCCTTTGGGCAACCCTAATGTCAGCGACACATCAATTTTGTTAATATTAATATCTTGACAACTCGAAACAGTTTAGGTAAAACATACACGTAGCTGGTGTTTTGAAAACATTTCGATGTCAGGTACAAGAATACGAAATAAAAAATATAGAATTCTACTTAAAAATTTAAATGCGATCTTCATGGACCTTTCCAAGGTTATCTCAAGGTCAAATAATTATTATCATTACGATATCTAGATACTTTCCTGGCTTCTACTTTCGATTGCAACATTTTTTCATATCTGCAGTATCTTTTGAAATAATTGCTGTGGGAGATTAAAATGGGACACCCTGTATATATATAAAGAACATAGTTATAAGAAAAATGTCTGTACACATTGCAAAGATTAAAAAGAAATTTTATTTTTAATCTTCTTCGTTCTGCAATTTTATTCTTAGTACAAATTTATTTAGAAATGAAGAAAAATATAAGAAAATAATAAAATCTTTGTTCAAGATGTTTGTATTAACATGGTTAAGTACAAAGACTGTTTGAAAACCGGTATTGCGAGGATTAAGCATAAATTTCTTCAAAAATGAGATATCTTTCTAACAAATTTTATTTTATTTCAAATTTATTTCAAAATTCGAACTCGTCCATTTATATTGTTATTTTTGTTTATCATATATTGTATTGATATCAAGATTTTTACATTTTACAAGTTGCGTTAGGTTGCGATTATGCCATATCTCTCATTTTTTATTTTTATTAGATAATTCTAAGAAAAACAGTATTCATATGTGCTGTACAAAATAATGTTTACAATTACGAATTCATTGTACTTGATTTATCGACTTGTACAGTTTTGAATTCAAATGACATGTTCCGATTAATTGCAATCTTATCGGTATTAGTTTCTCTTCTTAATTAACGATGCAAAGTAAGCCGGTTAAATTCCGTCGTAATTATTTGTATATAACACGTAGCAGTTATGCGAAGAAGAACATGTTTGTATATTTCCCTTCCAAGCAACGATAATAATTAAATGAAATTCTTAAATAACGTTTACAAAATTTGTTAAGTTAAAATAAATAATTCTTTGACGATATTGAATGAAAAAATGAAAGAAAATGTTAAAAATAAAGTAATGAAATTATGAAGCAATTTGTAATAAAAATACAGTAAATAACACATATTTGTAATAATTAGTATTTGTGTAAATCATTCCCTTGGTTAATATAATACAAAGCATGTATCAGATACTCTGTATATAAAAATTTGTATTTCAATGGATTATGCTCAATTTATTTTATATGAGTTAATAATAATCGTATTTAATGTTATAAGATACAATGAAAAATAAAACAATAGTTTTTAAAGAATATTATTATCTAAATAATTATTAAATTAAATCATAATTTTGTGGAATTAAGGTTTCCTACCAAATAATTATTTAACAGTATAGTCAAATATTAATTATGCAAACTCGCAGTGTTAAAATTTATATATAACTTACAACTGTCTGTAGATAAGATTAAAAAACAAAGTATACGCGAGATTATTTTAATTTTGTAATTTGCAACGGTATTTAGTTGAATAGTGATTTAACGATAATAATGTATTAATATCAAGACAAAGTTAATTATCATATGAAAAATAAGTGTTAATATGGGCATTATTTTAATTATATGAAACAAAAGCAAATATTTATTTTATTATGATAAAGTTGTGATATTAAATCTTGCTATAATACCGAAATTATGTTTAAAAAATAATTATTGTAAATTACAAATTTATTGCAAGTAAAATAATATTACAATAATAATATTAATATCATGTTAATAAATTGTTCAAAATATAAATTATATGCTAATTTTCACCAATATGTATATAGATGCAGCTAATAATATTGTGGTGATACCAGGTGCAAATTAGCATATAATTTATATTTTGAACAATTGATTAACATTACGTTAATATTATTATAGCAACACTATTCTACTTGCAATAAATTTGTAATTTACAAAGATTATTTTTAAAAAAATGAAATAATATATTTAAGTACTGAACTAATAATATTAGTATATTGTATTATTTCGTATTAACGTATTCAAACAAATAGATAATTTTATAAAAACTTTCCAGACCCATTAAAAGGATATTAAAATTATAAGTAGCGAAGAATTAATGTTAATACAGCAGTAATCGGATAAATACCCAAAACTTGAGACTTTAAATTGTATCGATTCTAATTATAGAAACAAATCGAGTCGAACTATCGAACATGAAAGACAACTAACGAAAGAAAAGGAGATCCGAGAGTCGAGGTGACATTCGTCAGATAATACCAAAGCAATTATTAAATTTTGTTATTTTTGCTTCATTTTGAACGAAACTTTCGATATTATATTTGTAAGGATTTTCTGATTAAAATGAGACCAAACACAATATAATTCAGAGCATAGATAACTGAAAAAAATGAAAATTGAGAAAAATAGGAGAAATCCTAAATACGAAGCACATCTATTTACCTCCACGCTCAATGGCGTAACAGTGAAACAACGCTAAACTTGTTCTTCCAATCAAAAGAAGCTCACAAATATAATAAAAGTTTTATTTAAAAAGCATACAAAATTAGATAATACTTGTCGGTGTTGAATTTTGTGAAACATCAAAACATATCTCACCTAATTGTGGAAATAATCAACAGACACTTTGTAATCAGTTCGAGTATTACCCAACTCTTACGGTAGTGTATACACTATTTGAACAAGGATTCTATTAACCTCGATGAGGTTCGATAATTCAACGCAATGCAACGTGTATCGACGGAATGTTTTCGTATACCAATCAAAATTTAACTTACTTTATTTTGCACTGTTGTTAAATGGAACACACTGTACCGAGAGAATGGTCGAAGACGAAACCTATCAAACGTTCGATGACAGAATAATTGGAATGTCACTTGGAACAGTTTATGTGGCGAGTGTTCGGGAGCTGTTATGCATTCGTGGATAATCTTCAGTCAATTGCCGCGTGATGGCTGCGTGTTCCAGTGAAATGATGCCATTTCAGTGCAGGTTCCAGCGATACCGGTTGGAGGACGAAGATATCGCACTTTGCATTCTACCACAGACGAGGTATAGAATAGATACGATATTGCGTGTATTTTTTCGTTTCGATTTCCGTATGCTTTGAAATCTTTACCACTTCCATGTCACCTGCTGTGTTACCGACAGAGTTTACAAACCGATAGTATATAACGAGAACTACGACGCATTGAAGTAAAGTATCCTATTTTTAAAGTAAAAAATTTCGATTTATAAATGTTAGTGTTAACGTAAGCAATGTTTGTAAATACAATGAAAATATGTAGGTAATAATATAAATTAGGAACTATACTGTATCGATGAAATTAATTTTCATACGACTTTAAAAGGTTAAAATGTCCTTTTATTTTTGATATTATCGACTGAGTTATAATCTAATATTTTCCTTATTCATAGACTTATTATGGTTTAGTAATCTATATTTATATTTCGTATGCAAACTGTTTTCATGTGATACGTATGATATAAGATTAGAAAAAAATATTCATTTTTATGTACTCGAACGATTAATTATTATCTTGAAGAAAGGTCTTTTATCGCGTTTTACAACGAAGGGTGCAGTTTATATGTGCGTGCACATTCGTACGATACTGTTATCACTACTTTACATTTTTGTTTTTCGGTTTGTTATGAAAATCGCAGAATGAAGTATAAAAATTACTTGTACCATTAAAAACAATATTGTGTAAATTAAACACTAGTAGCGTCGAGTTTCTCACGATAAATTTATCGTTAAGTGTGAAAATTTATTAAAACAAGTAACAATGTGTAGCACGAATGGCTATGTGTGTGATTTATATGTGACGCGACGAGATACGAGTTAACCTCAAATCCAATCTATTGCTAATTGGTGGCGCGGTTTGGAATATTGCTCGGAAATATAACGAATGCACCATTGACAGTTCTGAATGACTAGTCCACTAGTGAAGTTTTAAATCTTAAATAGTTTTCGCGAACTATGGGGAAAGTATTTTCTTTTCCATATTGTACTGTTTTATCAGTATGTTCTACATTCTACACATCTTGGTAATTATATATTTTCAAAGCAAATTGTTTCATAGATTTTAACAGTTTTTAAATATGTTATAGAAATCATCATTCTAAATCATTTTTTTTCTAGATATATAACGACTGTGTTATTTTAGTTTTCGAGATGCAGGGGAATTTCGATAATCCAGAATCTAATGATTTGGCACGTTGAATAATTTAGTACATATAGCCATTGATTAAACTATTATTTCTGAATATCTTTCAATGACTATCATGAGATGCACTTACTGACAAAAGTTAAGAAATAACGTAATCATTTGGGAATTTCTATATAGTCTCTATCTTCTAAGACACATAGGTTGAAACTAAAAATAGTATAATAAAATAACATTCCATACATCAATAAACAATAAGTTTCTTTTCGAACATATTGGAAAAAAGCTCATTGTTTACTGATGTATGGAATGCTATTTTATTATGCCATTTTACCCAAATTACCAAACGATTACGTTGTTCCTTAATTTTTGTCAGTAAGTATATATGTACCTTGCACAACAAAATTGATGTTACGTTTATTGTGATACAGTACTGAATTCGAACAATTACAAATAAGTTCTAAAAAATCGTGTTATATATAAAAATTCATGTAAATTATAATACACGATAAAATAATAGCATACTCCATGATTTTTAATGTTTCTTGAGTAATTTCAAAACAATATATTTTGATAAAAAAAAAAAAAAAGAAAAAGAATAGGATCAGATGATTATAAATTAAATTTGATTTTACGAAGAAAGGTTAATACTATACAATTGATACAATTGATAAAAATATTGAAAAAAATTACTATCTTAGAATATTTTTGCAAATATAGCAGAAATCAATATCTTCTATTTATTTATTTCCTAAAAATAACACGAGAAACAATTTTTGCTAGATTCGGATTTAACATATAAAAATATGTAAGACGCCATTCTCAAAAAACAAAATCTTGGTGATCTATTTTTTCTCAATCTTTTTTCGTATCATTGACAAGATACATTAAATTTCACATATTGCATTAGTCTCGAAGCATGAAGGCAGAAATGGGAGAAGGATCATGAAATTTAAAATTTCAGCGCCGGGATTCC